GGTATCAATATGGAAAAGAAGGTGAAAATGATCATGAAGCAATGGTAAACATCATCTATTAATCTGTTTTTAATAAATCATTGATTTTATTATAGGATACAGATTTACTTCGAGATTATATTTCATATGCACGTAATTTTGTTAGTCCAAATTTAACAGAAGCTTCTGGAAAACTTCTTATTAGTTCGTAAGTTACTAGATGAATACAAAACATTCATAATATTATGAAATTTTTAGATATGTTGAAATGCGTAAAGTTGGTAGTGGTAAAGGACAAATTTCTGCATATCCTCGACAACTAGAATCATTAATTCGTTTGGCTGAAGCTCATGCTAAAGTTCGACTTTCAGAAATAGTCGATGAACTTGATGTCGAAGAAGCAAAACGGTAAATTATATATACATATCATTTCTTTTTTCATTATTGATTCTTTAGACTTTATCGTGAAGCATTAAAACAAGCAGTAAGTATTATTTAGCCGTGAGATATTTATTTAATGAATAATTTGTATTTTGAATAGGCAGTTGATCCTAAAACAGGTCGTGTTGATGTTGCAATTTTAACAACAGGTATTAGTGCTGGTGAACGTCGTCTTCGTGCTGATCTTGCTCAAACACTTAAACGTCATCTTAAAGAACGTAAATCAGCACAAAGTGCAGGTGCAATTAAAAAAGATATGTTATTCAATGAAATGCGTGAACGAAATGATGAACGTATTACACGTGATATGTTTGATGATGCTATTCGAGCATTAGAAGAAGAAAATTTTCTTGTTGCAACAGCTCATACAATTCGTATTGTTACTTTAGGTGAATCAAATTTTGATTAAACAAATTCAATTTATTTTTCTTGTGGATACAAAATTAACCTAAATATATATATTTTTTTTCTTGTCTTTTGTTATTCTATTATAATTAGACTAAATAAATAAATATTCTTAACTTTTCATGAAACTATAAGCGACATCTCTCATACGACTGTCCTTGGATTCGATCGATATTCATTTGATGAATCATTTTTTTTCTACAGTAGCTTGATTTATTCTATTGATCATATAGAATTCTAATGTCTTTCTATCGATATCTATCATCAACAATTAAAGCAACTACGAATGTACATTCTCAAGCACCAGCACTATCAGGCATAGTTAAACAATTATCAAAATTTTCTTCACATGATGAACTTATCGAATATTCTCAACGACCTATTGAATATTGTTATCCAAATCGTATGATTGAAGCATGTTCACCACATCATTCAACACCAATTGATCTAATGAAAACAGCAATTGATCTTCATGAACAATTATTAGTACGTCTAGCACATTGTTTAACTCATTTTCAATCGATACCATTTTTACCTGGTGTTAATCCAACATTGTTATCTTTACATGAACGTTATTTAAAATTATTTGAAACATTTGCTCATTTTCCTCAAATCAAAACAAAGGAAGATGAAAAAAAATTTCTTGAATTAATTAATATATTTGTTGTACAAAATAATGATGTTATTGGTTTATTATCAACTGGTTGTAGTGAAGCACAAAAACATTTTAAAACCTATAAAATAATGAAAGATTTTCTTGATAATGTTTTACAAATACGTTTATCAATGCGTTTACTTGCTGAACATTATCTTGAATTACATAAACAACAAAAAGATAATAGTTCCGAATGGCGTGGTGCAATATGTATGAATTTTTCACCTATTAAAGCTATACAACAATGTGTTAATGATGTTTCTTCTCTATGTTTTGAAACATATACAGTTGTACCACACGTTCAAATTGAAAATACGATGAATGAATCTTTACCCTATTTTCCAAGTATTATTGAATATATTTTACGAGAATTATTAAAAAATTCAATGCGTGCTATTGTTGAATGTAGTAAAGCATCATTGGGTAATGTACAAAATGTTAAACAATATTTTGAAGAAAATCGTGATAAACCATTATGTCAAATTGTAATTGCATCGAATCCTATTGATGAAAATTTTACAATTGCTGTTAAAGATCAAGGTGGTGGAATTGATGAAAGTGATGAAGAAATATTTAAATATATGTTTACGGGTGATGTCATGAAAGAAGAAGAAGAAGAAGTACACATGGATATTTTAGCAGATTTTCAAGAACGTATGACACAATCGTAAGTTGAAAATAAAAATTACGGATTTACGAAATTCTCCTCATGAATTTCGTTTAGATCAAAACAAATGTATGGTTATGGATTTGGTCTTCCAGTTTGTCGTCTCTATGCGAAATTCTTTGGTGGTTCATTAACTCTTAGACAAGTGTCACGTATTGGTGTTGATGCTTATCTTCGTCTTGGTTTCATACATACAAATTCTGAACGTATTAAGATTTAATCTACATATATATAAAACTGTTTCTAGTCTATCTTTAAAAAAAATAGTATCAAATAAACTATACATGATTTCCTTTTTTTTATGAAATGATAAATATTGAAGAATTAAAAAATATAACTCATGCATCTTGAGGATCTTGTATATGAGCGACATCTGATTTGACTGTCATGTGTTACTATTAACAACAAGTCTTAGTAACATGACAGATGAGAAAAGAAAATTTTAATAAAAATTTATAAAGAAATTATAAAAAAACAACAACAACAATTTTATATTCAAGTTGAAATGTATTTCTATATGTTAATTTATTAAAAAAAACATAATTGTTATCATTTAGGTACATTTATTAACTTAAAAAGTTGTTTTCTATATATGGATGGCGATCGTATTTTGTGGTCCAACTGCATTAAATACCGGTCAACGTCGTAGAAATGGATTATCATTACCATTACATTGGATACAAATTTTTGCAATTATAGTCATACTATTTCTTATACTGATGAACTATTTAACATTATGTGTTAATATTCCTACACATCCATGGCAATGGTTAAATATTGTGCTAACTTCACTGATTATACTTCCATTTTTATTTATTTTTATAAGATTAGCTTATATTGATCCGGCTGATGACGAAGTCATAAAGAAAAGTATCGGACCAAAAACTGATTTTGATCGTCGTCAACATGCACATGTTATAACAGAATTGTATTGTCATATATGTTCTGTACATGTTACAGAAAAAGCGAAACATTGTTCATCATGTAATAAATGTATTTATTCATTTGATCATCATTGTGTTTGGCTAAATACATGTATTGGAGGAAAAAATTATCGATTATTTCTCTCAATGTTATCGTTAGTTGTTATTGGAACTTTAATTTTATTTATAAATAGTTTACTGCAATTTATTGGCTCATTTCAAGATCTATCAACATCAACATCATTACTCAAATTAAAACCATTTTATAATTCAAGTAAGATTTTTAGTATAATCAAAATGAAATAGCTGTGAGAAAAGATATTCATAGATTATGTAATTCAGTCGTTTTCTCTCAGGTCACTTCAACTTTCATAATCTTAAGTGTGCATTAGTTGTCCTCAAGAGCAGCTCTTATTGTTCTATCGTATACCTTTTTTTTTTGAAATAGATCAATATGCTATATTAATGATTCCATCATCACTCATCGCATTTCAAGTCATAACAGCAATCATAGCATTTATCGCTATTGCATGTTGGGGATTAACTTTATATCTTCTTGCTTTTCATGTTTATTTATGTAAGTAAAAAAACGGAAATGATTTTCTCGAAAGTTAAATTCTTCATCTATTAGGTTATCATGGTATATCAACATATGATTATGTTGTTAATCATCGAATTAATCGAACTGTTAATCAAACATTATCTCAATTTAATCAACTTAATCAAAATCATCTGTCGCCAAAAGAAACGGAATTAACTCCTCAAAAAGTTTGTTTTAATTTTGCTATTTATCAATAAATTTCATTTATTTATTTTTCTAGCGAAGGAAAACAAATCATTTGGAATTGTATAAAGATAATGGTAATATAAATCATTCTCCAAAATCACAAGTTTATACCGTCGAAGGAAACCATGTATGTTCATTAATTTCGCACAAGAAAAGTTAATTTTTTTACTTCATATCTATATATAGAGAGATTCTTCACAACATTTACAAACACGTCAGAGTTTAAATCAAGAAGGTTATATTCTTAAAAATGAATCTAAAACACATGATGGATATTAATCAATTCTATATATTTTTTTCCAAAAGTGATACGCGTGTATAGTGATATGATAATCAAAATTTCAGCTTTTTTTGCTTCACATTGTTATGCTTTTTATTTTGTTTTACAATTAAAAAAATATATAAATAAAAGTCAATTAATAATAAATAAACCATCTTAAGGGTCGGTGGGTGTTGGTGTCCATTATTGATCTGCATTCTCACCCTCTAATAAATACGAGTCGATATTTTTAGTTGTATTTTCTTCTTGCAAATTTCTAGAATCATCAATAGTTTTTAAGAGATTTATAGGATTGTTTGTTATTTCTTTTCACCTATATTTTTAAATCAATTGCTCATATAAACTTACTTACGCATCTGTCTAACACATTTTCTATTGTTAATACGCTACTTCAAAAAATATTTGATTCCTTTGATATTATTTTTATTCAATAAAAGTTACAAACATTATCATCCTATTTATTTTTTAATATTTACAATGCTTATAATACTTTATAGAACTATAAAAACAAAGTCATAATCGATAAATATTAAACAAAAGTTTATGTTTCAAAAGGCTGGTTAGACAACGGAAAGACGCATGACAAATCGCTTAAGTCTCAGAAAAAAATACGTTCATGCGATATGTGTATACAAGTAATGGATAAATGATCTGGTATTAAATTTGGTTAAGTATATTTTGAAAAATGTTTTGCAATGTGTAATCATTTTTTTTGAGTTGTTGTATTGAATTGACGAGAAAATAAGAAAAAGGAATAGATGAATGTTTCAAAACGAACAGACAAATGGATTGATTCGTTTTCATTCTGTTACTTCTTTTAGACAAGAATTTCCCTGTTTCTAAATATAAAAATAAAGAACTATTTTTTGTGTCTTTGAAACTATACATCTGAAAAAGAATGCTAAAGATAATAAATATATTAAATGATAAATAAAATTATTTTCGAGCAACTTCTGTTATTAAGGATAACTAAAGTAGTTCCATATTTGGCAATTTTATTGGGTATAGATGCAACTGTGGTGGTAGATGTGCGTTGGCATCAACAAGACACACCCACAATTGTGCCCAAATTATTTTAAGCTTTTTCTAGCTAATATATGTTCCACTTCTGAATAAAATTTGAGCTTAAAAGCTTTTCAGCACCTGAGAGGTTCTTTCGTTAGAATATAGTGATATTATTCATCACTATTTAAATGCATAAGATTTACTTTGAAAGTTTGTATAAAATACAGTCTGGCAAAGATTTTAACATGATAAAGATTTCTTGTTGTTGAACGAATTTACAGTTAAAAGTTCTAATTTATTCATGAATATATATATATTCTGGTTTATTTAATATAATAAAAAGTAATATAGCATTCAAAAATAGAAAGTCTGATCAATACTATACTCATAATTATGTCTGGCTTCTTTGAAATTTCCAGCTTGAATTAATTGTTTAGCCTGATCAATCGTTTTTACTTTGAATAATTCAAGAATTAGATCATCTTCTATTTTTGGTAGCGCACTCCATTTAAATTCTTTACCACAACCCACTCCTTTGGAATTTCTACCGACGAGCTCGTTGATATTTTCAGTGCTTTGTTCGGTGATATCTACGAAGAATGATCGAAACATTTGTTTTAATTGTTTCATTGGTCTTTCACGAAGGACAGCCAGTTCTTCTAAGTTTGGTTCCACATTTTGAATATCTGTATCAAAATGTTTTTGAACATTTTCTTCAAAATCTTCTTCGGCATCATTAGTCATTTCTTTAAAAATATTTTTATCTGTCGAATTTTTTACAAATTGAAGCTTTCCACCTATTCGTTCCAACTGATATTTCCAAAAGGCTTTGTCACTGACGTCTTTAGGCCTTGAAAATTTGTTGTTACCGCAAGTTGTCAGACCGTCACAACCTTCCGTTTTGAACCAAATTAATTTACAATGTGGACATCTTTTGATTAGATTTCTCGGATCTTGATTATCAGTTAAACTATAAGACATTAATGGTACAACTTTTTCAACAAATTTATCACAATTTTCAAGATTTTCTTTTTCCATTTTAATGGAAAATGCATAGTAATCTAATTCTTCCATTGTACCAACGTGTTGTTGTTGAAAGTCTTGTAAAAGTGTTTCCATTTCATCTCTAAACTTGACTATGGTCATATGTAATGCTTCATCTTTATCTTCAACAGATTCAGATCTAACAGAATTAATCAAATCTGTATATTCTTGCACAAGTAGATTTGCTTTTTTTTTATATTGTCCAAATGAAACTTTTATCCGACTTTTCATTTCATATATGTTAAATCTTAAAAAGAAATCTTCGTCTTTTATATGTAATTTTTCTTCGTTCATGTTGGACATACAACTATACATTAAATTTGCTACTTCTGTTTTAAAATTTTGTTCCGAATAAAAAATTAAATTAGCCACATTTGTACATTCATCTTGAAATAATTCACAAATTTCTTTATAAGTGTTCTGTGGATTTTTTGATTGATCCCAATGAGAAATCATCACGATAATTTTCTTACTATAATTATAGACTGGTTGTTCGACTTCAAAATAATTTTCAATCATTTTATCAAATCGATTATCATATTTAATAACGATAAAAATGGTATTAATTTTAGTTGCTGTTAAAGCTTCTCTTAATAGAAAAGCGTGCTTATATGTTTCAGTTGAACTATCAGTTCCAGGTGTATCAATTAAAGAAAATGTATTTTCACCATAGCGAACATCATTACGAAAAAGATTTCGAGTAACGCTTCCTGCTCCTTCACCTGCTGCATGTTGTGTTCTACAAAGTGAATTAATTAATGTAGTTTTTCCAGCCCCTGTTCTTCCCATAACAACAGCACATGGTTTATATGTTAATCTCTTTGGAATCAACTGTTGTTGTATTAAAGGTTTATTTGCATCCATCATCACTGTTTTTCCTAAATCAAAAATTGTTTTTCTCTTAAAGTTTGAGATGTATGTAAAGAGGAATTCAAGGTTACTTCACTTCCACATGGAAAGGATTAGAAGTTTACATCGATCGCACAGAAAATGTTTCAGTAATAAAAAGAGTGACTTTAAACTTTGAAGAAAGAAAAGGCTTATACAGTATGAAATCGAAAACAATAAGATAACTAAAAGAGAGAATTAGAAGAAATATTTGACAGAAAGAAGAAGAAAAAATATATGTAAAATATCTATAAATGATCCTCTATTCTAACATGCCTCTAGTATGTGTCATAACAGTATTGCCGGTCGACACTTTTCTAATAGGTGTAAATCTTAGCAGTTTTGATCGATATTTGGTGGATATAACAATTTGCTTCTTTCAAGCGGATGATTTCACAATTTTATATTATTTTCCTTACTGTGAATGTATAATACGAAGGATAATTATAGCCTACACACAGACACATTTCATTATTTTATCATTCGTTTTTTTTTCATATTTACTTAATCACAAAAGTACAACGCAATGATATTGATAAAATGACTGAGAACCAAAGTTACCAAAGACATAAAACGTCGTTTATTATCGGACTAATAGTAAACTACGATAAATGGGGTAGCTTTTTCTTCCTAACAAGTATGAAAGCTTTTATTTAATAAATAACTGATAAAATCGAACGATGCTCTGTACAAGTTCTACTAACAGGACTTTTTTTCGGGAGTTTTCAGTCGAAAAACTTACTTAAAAAACAGAGTATCCTTTTCGAAAAGAAACAGACCATATGTGTTTTTCTCACCTTTAATCGTCTTCCTCTTGTCTGTCGTTGAGCGAGTTAAAATAACGTATTGTTTTGACGGTTCTACTAAATTTGAATGTAGTATATAGGTACGAACCATAGAAAAACAAACTGAAACGAACATGAACCATACAAAGGTGCGAAGAAAAGGTGAGAAATCAGTTAAAAACAAAAGAAGACTGAGCGAACAAATGGTGAGAAACGCCAGAGCGACGTTTGTCAACAAACGAATACTAGTATCAATACGATTTGTTAGCATTGTAAGAGATTCAAGACAACCATAAGTGAGTTCATCCATGTTCTTAGTTAAGTTATGTGCAATATGACCGATCGTAAGCGCAAACCTCGTGACAATATTAAGTGCATCAAGTCGGACATCAGTCGCAATATCTGCAGCAGTTTTTACGGTATCCTTGACATCGTGTCGAATATCGTCGATCTTTTTAGAACCTTTCCAAAGAACAAAAGTTGCTGAGAGGGCGAGACCACAACCGATAACGAAAGGCAAAACCATTTCGAATAAAAATGCGTGATGGTTAGAAAATCTGAAGCAGAGAATAGACTTGCTTAACAACAATAATTTTTGGGAAACATAATTATTAGTGGGTTCTCAACTATTGACTACAAAAGAAGATTTATGAAAAAATAGATCAGAATTTGCGTAGTTCCGCCGATTATAATCAATAAGGGCGCCCGATCTCAAACTAATTTATTACGGGTCCGGGTCCGGGTCATTTAACCGACAATCACTTCGCCGACAATCAATTCTCCGACACCACTTCACCGACAGGTCCCATTGAGGGTGGGATGGGTGTTGCTACAACCAAAGCTGATTCTCCTGCAGAACCACACCCACACCCTCAAGAGGAAAGCCGGACAGAAGAAATATGAGAATTCAAATAATTCTCATCGACGAAAGAATAGAAAAAATCAGAATGATCTACATATGTATACGACAAGAGGTAGATGAGAAGAGAAAACACAAACACATAACTGGTGGCAATCATTTCTGTTAGAATGCTCTCTAACAGAACAATATACGTATTGAGCCTTAAGTCTTTTTTTCTAACAACATACTGGCTTTAGGTTGAACTTTATAAAAGAAAAAAGAGCTTACCTTGATCGAATATTTTCAAATACCGTGTGAATCAAATGGCCGATCAACGCAAAACACGTCGTTTATAATAAAGCTCTTCAAACCAGATATATTTATAACGAAGAAAAAGAAAGATTACTGCCTCTTTCGTCTTTCTCTGGGTTTCTTCTCAGTATAGACTTTTTTTCCAACTTGGATTTTGCCAGGTTTTCATACGTTAAAATATCAGCTTTTTTTTCTTCCTTTTTTTCTATATCTCAAGAGGTAAAAATATATGAGAAAGAGTTTATGACATCATTCATAAAAAGAAATAAAATCTCTCATAATGCAAGAGCACTTTTATCGATGGTTTCAACAACATGAGTTAAAATCAAATATTAATTCTTGTGATTGTTGGTTTTGTTTCTCTCAGATGTCAGTATTTTATTCTTAATATGTTTATGTTCTATTATTTTTATAAATATGACTGAGTATTCATCGTGGTTGAGCCAACCCTAGGGAAAATCATTGATGTTTCAACATGACTGAAGCAATGTTTTTACTGATAATGAGTCATTATCAGTATTTTATTGAACCTGTACATTCCTTGTCGCTTGAAATTCTTTAATGTATCAATGAACAGAAATTATCATTAAAGTTTCATTAAAAATGTAACAATATTCAGTTATATTTTATAAAATTAAGAAAGTAGTGAATAACTATTACTCTCAAGTACTCAATTTTGTATAAATCCATGCAACAATAAACTAGTTAAAGAAATCACAGATATTTTTCAATAATAAAAACCATATATAAAATAAAACAGCATGTAACATAATGCATACGTGAAGCAGTTTTCTAGGTATTCACGGCTATATATCACTATCGAATTTATTAATCTAACCATCTAGCTTTTACATTCAAATTGCAGCCAAAAAAAAAAGAAAATTTAGAAAGCCTTGTCATAATTATGTCTTTATATCTTTCTGAGTGACAAGATTTTGCTAATATGATACTATAACTTGATGTATTGTATCTAAAATAATAATTGTTACCGAATAATTTTTTTGAAAAGAAAAAATGTACTCTGTGAGACACGAACTAAGAAGAGCATTGAAGTATTAGGGATAGAAATGTTTACTTACTCACTATCTTCTACAAACGTTACAAATATGACAGGCATTATGAGTTCGCAATAACTGATTTTACAGCAGCTACTTCGTGTTTCATACTTTAATCCTGTAGCGATTGCGTTAACAACTTTTTTTTAAAATTTATTAATAGCTTTCAGAGATTGGACCAGTACAAGTATATCAAGTACAAATACAAATACTTTTTACTTATCTAGTGTACTCTGGAAAGGCCCATAGTACTTTGTATTATAGTACGCGTACAAGGTCCAAAAATACTTGGTATGCTGTACTTAGTACAGTGTACTTAAGTACATCTTCGTATCTAGTTTCGATCCATATTTTCCCTGCTACTATCTAATATCTTTGTAGATGAATAACATCTATACCAAGGACAGTTCTATATCAGCTCTATTCTTAGGAACTGTGTAGCCGTTCTTTTGATAAGAACTCATCTGTTTTAATAGATCATTCGATAGAAACTGATCTGGTTCTTAGTACAGTTCTTTTGGTAGGAACTGTTCGAAAATATTTTCCAAAATAAAACCATATTACTCGATATTCAAAGTATCATTCACATAATAAAACAATGTTGTTGTGTTTTTGGACTAGCACTTCCGAGTATTGAGTAATATTGTACTTTTTTGGCAAAACTATTCGGACAGTTCTTACTAAAAGAACTGTATTAAGAACCAGATGAGTTCTTATCAAAAGGGTGTAGGTATGGGTGTGTGGATCTGGGTGGCTGTAGGTAGGTGCGGCTGTAGGTAGGTGCGGCTGTAGATAGGTGTGGCTGAGAATGTTAAGAGCTCTTCTCTCACGGCCACACACCCCTCCACACTAACACCTATAAGATGATCTTTCAAATGCACATAAAAGATCGAAAAATAATTTTTTATCTAGTACCTCATATACTGAGACGTTGCTCGATATTGCCATGAAGTCTCTGTTAAGATCTTATGTCATCTATAATTCATATTATCAATTAACAGGTAATCGACCCTTTTGTAATATTTCTCTTTTCTCAACTAGAAAATATCATAATATTTTTGTTTTCTCAACCAGAAAATATCACAATCTTTCTTTTTTCTTAACTAGAAAATATCATAATTTTTCTGTTTTCTCAGCCAGAAATTATCATGAAAAAAACATCATCAAATAATCTACTTATTTATCAAGGACATATTAATTCAAAATTTTTCTTTCTGGGTACTATTAATTACTATTTTTAGGAAAATACTTTCTGAGTATCATGCTTTTTTTTAGAACAACTCAATAGAATCAGAAAGCATGAAACATATCAAATAAAATCTTCAGAATTTTAATTTAATATGCATTGCTTCATCGCATTTGTGACGTCAAGAAATAAAACACATATAATAGATGGAAGAAAAATGCATAATTTTCATTTTTAGTTGAGAAAAGAAAAACTATTTCAAACGACTATCTTTTACAATATTTACTCTATTAATACGATACTTGGTAAGTAGTGTTACGAACATTAATGAAAGAATAATTATTACTATTGGATGATTCTAGACGCTTTCTAACGGATATATATCTGTAAAATGTAAAAGAAAAGTATTGAGCCTATCGCAACACTATTGCAAATATATTTTGTTCTGAAAAAAAAGATTTTTACACGATAAAATGAGACGTATCGAAGTTTCGAGATCAATAAACTCTTACAAATCTCAGAACTGAAAAGTTATCTGACTTTGATGATGTCGACGAAGATATAAAGTTTTGAATGAAAAGTAATAGATCTATATGTGGATGTGACTAGAAAGATAATGACTCGTTCGCTCTCACCCATTCACAATGTACGCTATTTAATTAGATTTTTCAAGCATTCTGCAAAACAAAGTATTCTACGCATTTGACTTCTGCTTAGTATATTCACTGTCATAAATACCGAGAGTAAAAATGACGTTCCTTCCTAAGGAGAGAAGAACAGGTCCGAAAATCCATTCAATAAAACAAACAAAAATATTATATAGAGAACGATTTTGATTAGTTTTGAAAATGTTTATATTATCTTTTTCGGCAGTGCACAAACAATATTTAGTGAAAATATTCTGCAAATAAACAGGTACATACTATGGCATCATGGTCGTACATCACTCAAATGTACACACTTTATGTGCTTATTCCATTCTGCTGTATAGGTTTTTTTGGTAGTTTAATGAATACAATTATACTTTCAACTTCACGTATATATCGTACTCAGCCATGCACATTCTTTCTACTTATAGCAGCGATTGCACAATCTGTGCAGTACTTGGTTTCAGGAATATCTCGTATTTCTGCTATTGGCTTTGATATAGATTTAACTCTTCTCTCACCTGCATGGTGCAAAATAAAGGCATATCTTATTGATACTTGCCTTGGTGTGGCAATGACATGCGAATGGTTAGCAACAATTGATCGTTTTCTGATGACCTCACGATCAGCTAATCTACGACAATTGAGCAAGATCAAATGGGCTTATTGTATTAGTGCTGGTGTAGTTGTTTTCTGGATACTTACATGTATACCAGATCTTATTTTCACTTATATAAGGTTAGGAAGTTATAATTTATATTTTGGTTCAATTCAAAAGGAAAACTAAGGTGTCAAATTCAGAGCTTATTATAGCGAAAAGAAGTTAATATAACAATCTTGATAGATTTGCGATTTTTTTTAAATACATATATCTACCAAAATGATTGTTTTTATAGAATAACCAGATGCAACATACTTGTCAGTGCTTATGATAAAATATATCAGTTTTCTATGTGAATTATTTCACAGCAACTGCCAGAATTACTTACCTAGTATTGTATTAAAAATTATGACAAAACTTAGTATATGCTTCAATGTAAATAAGATACCTAGATGATCAAATTAGAAATGCATGATGAATCTTTTATATTCATTAAATTACTTATTTAATTTTTTACAATTAGAAATAGATTATGAGAATGAAAAAAGTAGATATTTTTACTATAGTTTCAAATTTAATCACCCATGAACTGGAGAGAACTATGGCAAAAAGTTTTATGGAATTTATCGTTTTGACAGAGAGTATGAATAGGAAAAAGAAGAAACCATCTTGAAAGTCTTTATGTCATTTTCCTATACCTGTGTTTTTTAATATTCAGTTCGAACGTTTGTGACAATTACAATGAGATCTGGGGAACTTACTATAATTATGTTGATAATTGGCTTCTCTATACAGCAGTTCCACTGGTTACTGTCATTGTATTTGGTACACTTGCCTATCGAAATATGCGTACTTTAACAAATACACGTCAATTACAAGGAGCT